TAATGTAATCAAATTAAATATAAAACCAAAGCTATTTGCCACTGCGAGGGCATTAATGTTTTTATAAAAAATATTTTATAGTTTGTTATAGAAAAACAGAGTCCAGAGCCTCTATCAAAACAGTATAACAGGCACCTTCCGAGTAGAGACCTGCACTATCGCGGGACAACACTTGATGGGTGAGTGCGGGTGCGGGCGGGTAGACACTCGTGTGTGCGGAATGCGGGAGAATAAGGGTGTATCACAGTAGGCAATCTTAACCGTGCCTGAGTGCGTCTGACCCCCAAAGCCCGGTTCATTTGACTAGTGTGATCACTCCGGTTCGTTTAGCCGGCCCTGGCTCAGTTGGAAGATGTGGGCCAGAGCGCGGTTCACTTGTGCTCGGTCGCGGCACGCATGTAGTGTTGGAGTGCTGAACTTCTGATACGTGCAGCATGATTGAGTGAACATATCTGAGCATCAAAAGTGATAGATCTGTAAAGCAATATATTGTGAGAGGGCCGTGTTTTATCGCGTCCCAGACGACTCAAAATAATAAACCACAAAGTTAACAAAACGATGCACTCGACTGTGCTGAGCGAGAGCGCTTCTCTGCAGTGGCAGAGCTAGCGTGCTATACATGGGATGGCCAAGGCTTATTCAGGGGGTCCATAGACCATGACAGAAAATCAGTGTGTAACTCCAACCTGACATAAAAACGCATGAATAAATTATATGATTACTGATTAATTCACATTACCCCTCATTAGTTAAATATACAGGGAACCCTATTGTCAAGCTTAAAAGTAATTGATTTGTATTCAAGTTCATATTAGACCATTTTTTATAATAATAGTATAGGCCCTATCTATACATTTTATTAATTATAATAAAAAAGAGCATAAATTAGTAAATAAATAATAAATGTAATTTTTGCAAAATTCTCCTCTCTAATGTACATTTTTCTCACTAGTTAATGGACACTGAATGGATTTTCTGCTGTTATGTGACAATGCAAACCAGTCTCACGGCATTTCGTGACTGGGTTGAAAAATGTATTCTAGCTGCTGTCTTTCGGCTGTTGAAACATTAATTGGACGATTACATGAGACACAATACATTCAGTAAGTTGTAGTGCATCTTTCAACATGAATTGGATGTTTATTTAATGTTTATTTCATGCTATTTAAAATGCACTTCTGCTTCGCTTGAACTGAGGCAAAGCAGGAGCGCACATGAACTGTCACGCCTCTCAAGAGCTCCAAAATGTATTTATCGTTCGAAATTCTTCATAAAACTAACAGAATTTGAATGCTCAGACTTTGTTTCCTATTATCAAAGTGACCTGCTCTGTCTTGTCTGTCAGTGAGTTGTCTGTGTCTTGTTTTGCGCTCTGTGATGTTCATCTTGCCTTATCCTGGGTCCGAATAAAACATCAGGTCATGCACAGACTTATCCTGTCTCTTTTAATTTAAATCTATATTTATTCACACCGGCTTTTGAAAACCTCTTTGCAAACACACTTGCCTGAAAAAGTGCGGGGGACAAAATTACGTTATATTAAAAGAGTGGGGGGGGGGGCACGTCCCCCACGTGATCTACGTCCCTGTGTGTCCTCTCTGCTCTGCAATGTTTTTCACTCCATAAGAAAATGAATGCGTGGCACGAGAGGCTGGAAATGGACGAGATGAAGCACGATGCGGAACGTGTCGCATCCTTGAGTTCGAGGCTAAAATAAGAGCCTGGTCTCATGAAAATGCGTATAAATAGTATGCCAAATAAAAACGAAAACACGTGGTATTGATACGCAAAAATGGACTTTGGCGTGCATATGATACGCATGTGTTTGGCGTGCATATGATACGCAGTTTTCGCGTATATATGATACACATCTACTCCACAACCCTAAACCTACCCATCGCGTAGCATATACACGCCAAAGTCCATTTTTGTGTATCAGTACCACGAGTTTTCGTTTTTATTTGGCGTACCAATTATACGCACTTTCATGAACATTCAGTACGATTGAACAAAGAAAATGAAGTAGTAGCATATTAATTATTGGAGTGGCACCCGGGGTGGCCGATCAGATGTCAGGAGTGTCCTGTACAGACAGATACTAACACACACACACATAGAGAATCAACAACTTCTTCAAAGCTGTGTTGTTTAAACCCAAGCTCTAATCACCCCAGATAACCCAGATATGAAGTACTTTTTCTCAGCTAGAGGTTTCAGACAACATTCTTTTCTATTTTCTAATGTTTAAAAATAAAAAATAAAGTAACTGCTTTAATTGTAAATTGGTCATTTAGATTAGAGTATGTGTACTTCATCACGATAACAGGACGAGTAAGAGTAGAAACATCGCTGTATTTAAAATCTGCTTGAACCGTGGGGAACTTTGGCAAGAACAGCTCTGATCCAAGCCTTACTGTGCTTCCCTGCTGCGATGCTATAAAATAAAAAACAGAAACCCTACACATGTCCACTGTTCTTTGATAATTAAAAATTCTCCAACAGGAACCCTGTAGAGTTAAATGCTTAATTTGCCAACATCAATTATTTTCTACAATCATTTTAAAAAGGAGGGACAATTCGGCATTTCCTCCATCGTATCCCAAATCCACAGAGAAACTCCAGCTTTGCCGCCCAGTTTTGGCAACAGCTTTTCTGTCAGGAGCACCATGATGCTTTAAAATACTGCCTACGCAGGCAGTGCACTAGGTTTTGGTTCAGAGCCACAGAGAGATGAACGGGATTGTCCAGTGATGGAGTGACAGTGACCCTGTAGCACTGAAGGTAAGACGACATTTGATGTTTAATAAGCTTTAATGATTTCAGTTCAGTGAGAGAGAGATACGCATTTGAGATGAACTCACACACAGTGCAGTACACTTTAGACAGAAGCTTTCCTGATGCATGAACACTGCTATTACACATTACAATACACTGTATCTAGATTGCATATAAATATAATCCGTGAAAAAGCAGCAGCTGTGGTTTAACAGAACTGTAAAAACATTTTAGGCTATTATTTTTAAATGTAAATTTAAAATTTAGATTTCTTACAAAGCTTAGACTTAGATTTCTTCCAGTTTTTGTTCAGTAAGGGACAATCAACAGATTTTTACTGTAGCATTATACAGTCTTTTAATATTAAAATCATGATGATTTTTACAGTGGACTCAAAATATAGTGATTATATTTAGTTTTATGGAAACTACAGAACAGCTTTTCTCATCTGGTGGATCGAGACCCAAAAACTGGTTGCAAAAGTCAAGAGACATTTAGAAACCAAACATCAAAACTCTAAAGATAAAGTAAATTTTCCTCTTCAATCATGATCATTTTGCAAATTGTTGGGGCTGTGTGTG